AAGAGAGAGAGAGAGAGAGAGAGAGAGAGAGAGAGAGAGAGAGAGAGAGAGAGAGAGAGAGAGAGAGAGAGAGAGACCTTGCAGGGGGCGAAAAGGAGGTATGGAGCGACCATTTACACCACCAGCATCCCCTTCACACGAGAAGGTCTATTACGAGAGAGAGAGAGAGAGAGAGAGAGAGAGAGAGAGAGAGAGAGAGAGAGAGAGAGTTGTCGGCCGAGAGTAAAGGCCAACCTATGAGAGAGTCGATAGCCCTGCAGCCAACCCACGGTCGACGCGTGCCGACCTAGCAAGAATACTTCGCAACAGACAGGACCTTGCGGGGGCGGGATGAATGCTCTGCAGCGTGGAAGAAAGTTCCAATCACGATGCGGGATAGCCATGTTCCGTGCACAGTAGTGGAGCAAGGCGCTCGTTTACGTCATCGTGTGTGTGGCGGTGCTCGTCTTAGCGCAGCGTTCGAACGCTTCGAACAACCGATGGCGAGACAATCGAATGAAGGCGGCGGCCTTTGGGAGCCTGGTGACTGCGCACACGAGCCCCCAATGCCGAAGTCCTGAGCTGGGCTGGGCAAAATGCAGTGTGTTGTGATCTCGTGTGGTACCGGTCAGGCCCACGGGTCCCCTTGCGTCCTGTAGATGGGAAAAAGAACGCGTCGCACACCCTCTGGACCACGGACACATTAATCGGTCTGTAACCGAAAAAAAAAAACCATCCTACTGTCCTGCCAACTTTCTGGGGTCAGGGATGGGGCTGCCCACTTCTGGGAAAGAAGCCACCGCTTCACCGAGAAGGTGTCAGCGTGCACGACATGTCCCACGTTGACAGTAGAAAGAGTCGGTTTGTATGACGCATCGGTTGCGTCCGTATCATTGTGGGATCGAAGCCTAAGGGCCTCGCTGCACTACGCTTGACACATGAAAAATTCCAAGAGTACGTCTAGCTCTGTCAGACTCCTGGAATGGCATCAAGTGCTGTCGTCGCTGCACATACTCTGGACTCTCGACTCTCGTGAGCATTCTTGACTGTTGGACAGACATTACACTACAGCGCAGCGAAGATTTGTCCACTGAGACTGGAGGCCGACTCTCGAATTTGCAAACCGCACGAAGGGACTGGTCGGCCTCTTTTTGAAAAAAAGCCCCTGCAGGCGGGAACTGTGGAAACCTAAAGAGCTCGTTGGATGTGCCGTTTCTGACACCTCTTGAAGCGCAGGACCAAGAGCACTTCTCCCTGGTTAGTCCAGCGATGACTCATTCTCGACGTTTTCAAGAGTGAATCTGACAGCGCTTGAATAGAAATTCAGGACGCCGCATCAAGAATCAGTGCAGCCGTGACGAACACTTGGGGCCTCTCTGCACTAGTCTAGACTCTCAAAGTATTTCAAGAGTTCAACTAGCATTGGCAGAGAGGCCAGACTCTCCCGCCTTCGCTGCACTTACTCTAGAATGTGTTACACTAGATGAACTCTCGAAACCCTGGGCGTAGTCCGACTCAACAGAAGAGCTGCACCATTGCGCTAGGGGACAAAGTCTGCCCGCCGGGACAGGAGGTCCACTCTCGAAAAAAGAGCCTGTCCGTGGGCAACTCCCGAGGACACTTGCAAATTCGGTTTTTGTCATAGAGTGGCTTCTGATAGCTCTCCATTTGCCCTATAGAGAGTAAGTGCAGCCAAGACCCACTCTCAAAACTTCGAGAGTCTAGAGTAGTGCAGCGAGGCCCTAAGTCTCCAACCTGGTGTCATGCGACTTCCATGATTGGATGAGCAGAATCTAACGAATCTTCCGCTAGAACATGGAAATATACACTGCCTAGTTGAATATGCCCGACACCTACACCTACAATGGACAGGGCGGCGCGAAACAAACCCGCAACACTTTCTACAATAGACAGCGCGGCACGAAAATCGACCGCCCGCAACGCTTTCTACAATAGACAGCGCCGAAAGCGAAACAAACAAGCAGCGAAAAAAGACCTCGTTCATAAAGCCCCGAGAAGAAACGAGCAAAGGCGGCCAGCCCATAAAAAAAAAGGGCACTACGTATGTCCCATCGAACCTACGTGGGGGCCTCATTTCCCTGGACCCAGGGGAAGCGTCTTGCGGGGCCCTATCCTTACCTTTGTAGTTATATAATATAATATAATATAATAATAATATATATATATATATATATATATATATCGTCACAAACAGAACTGCCCGGTGAACCGTAGGCAGAGAGAGAGAAGAGGACAACAAACGACTGGCTGTGACAAACTGTTTCGTCGGAGTTTCACCGACTCATCAGGAGGCTGTGTATATATATATATATATATATATATATATATATATATCTGTCATCAGTACATGCACACCACGGTCGTGACTCATAGAAACTCGCCATCGTCACCTTTCGGAAGTTCGGACAAGTCTACAAGCCTCGACACATCTGTCATGGCCGTCAAGCGGTGCCAGCCTGCCTCCACGAGCAAGTTGTGAATGTACTGTACGATGTCCCTCATGGCAGCTCCACACCCTGCTTTAGGACGACGGGCCCAGGATCATCTCCATCTTGAAGGAAAGGCCTCACCCATTCCACGAGCGTCTGCCATCCGACCCCAGAAGTTGCTGGTGCAAGGACCTTTGTACCCGTCAGCACCTCCAGAAGGAGGACCCCAAAGGAGTACACGTCGTTCTTGTCCGACAGCTCACCTTTCAGCATGTACTCTGGGGACATGTAACCAAAGGTTCCGCCGATGTGAGAGGTCAGGACAACAAGCTCGCGCGCAGTCCCTAACACTCTCTCTCCTATAGATGCTAGACCGAAGTCGGCCACAACGGTGTGGAGCCTCTCCCCAGAACCAGTACCAAGAAGAATGTTGTTGCTCTTGATGTCCCTATGGATGATGGGCGGTCTGGCCGCGTAGTGAAGGTAGCAGAGGCCCTTGGCAACCTGGAAGATGATGCTCATGCGTTCCTGAAGGGTTAGAGGCCGGAAGGCACGCGGAGGCTCCTCTGGAGGTGGGTCTGCACCCGGCTCCGAGCTTGGCTTGAGGAACAACCTGTCGTGCAAGCTTCCCCCGCCAAAGAATGGGTACACCAAGACGCAATGCCCTCCCTCAACACAGTACCCGACGAGGGAAATGAGGTTGGCATGATTGAGTCCGCTGAGAGCGTTGACTTCTGAGATGAATTGCTTCCGCTTGGCGTCCGTCAGCTCGCCAATCATGAGCTTGATTGCCACCTCCGCCCCCTGAAGTGAGCCCCTGTACACTTTCCCGAACGCTCCCTCCGCCCCGACCCGACAAACATCGCTGAAGCCGTGAGTGCAATCCGTCAGGTCTTTCAGGGGAAAGCTCTTCACGCGCGACGTGTCAAGTCCCCAGGAGTCGAGAGCGGTCGGCTGAGAGGGTACGGGTCGGTGCTGATTGCCCAGATCGTGGTTCGCCAGGGGTGGGTTCGGCTCGACCGAGTCGACTGCTGGCGGGCGTATCTTTTGGCAGAGATGGCAGCAGACGATACAGAACCCGACAAAGGCAATAGGTACGAAAATAGGCAATGCGATTTAATCACGTCTTCTAGCTTCTGCATCCCATTTTTCTTTTTCTTGTCTAAACGGATCGCTACCAGGAAAGTACTGGAGCCTCCGAGATTCCGACTTGCAACTCCACAAGCGGCCCGTATAGATTCGTGCTTGAAAAAGATTGCCATCGCTGGCGCCAAGGAACAGGCGTACTTCGTCGTGGTCCTCGTGAAGAGCTAATCCCCTGAAGGCTGCCCGTTTGTACTCCAGGACTGGTTCCATGTCTACCGCGGCCTCCGCACACGATGAGCCCAGCGTCAGGCCGAAAACAGTACCCCTCTGTCCGGTCGCGAACAGGTGGCACCCGTCGGCAGTTGTCGCTAATATGGCAGCTGGGAAAGGGAAACGCACGACAAAAGACTGATGATCGGGATCGCGACCGCTGCTGAAGTCAGCTACGAGAGTGCTAAGCGACGATTTCACGTGAGTATCGATCGCAAACACTCGCGCTCCGAATCTTGCACGCTGAGGCAGTTTCGTCAGATGGCAGAGGCAACTACTGCTGCTGTCGGAAACCAGACTCTCATACTGAAATTGCACACCGGTGGCGTTCACATTCAGCTTCGAGTGATAGTCAACAACGTGCTTAGGCTCCTCCAGAGGCAGGCCGAACTCGCTCACCGGGACGGAGAGCACGGCATCGCCAGATCCGACGACCGAGAGATAGACACGCGTCCTCGTGTAGTCCATCGCTAAAGAGCCGACCGAGAAATTGAGCGGGACAGAAGATCGAGAGCCGTCAGCAAGAGACAAAGATGTGATCATGGAACGCCCATCCCCACTCCTAACGCTAAGGACAAGATGCGAGCCTCTCCTCGACATGGCGGCCCCCGTTACGTAAGCCATGGAAGAGCGGGTGAACTTCCTACTAGCTTCTGCTACTCTCGTTCCGTTCGGCTCGTTGTAAGGCCACCAATAGCTTATCACTGTGGATTCGTCACCGCTGGTTGGGTCCGAACCAGGGTTGGTATTGGATGGACAGGCGCTTCTGACGGACATACCATCATCGGTGATGGTACCGTCTGCAGTGGCGCACCACTGGTGGAGGACGTAGTACAGATGACTGCGAGAAACAACGAGGTTGCGGACGTCCGATTGGCAATGTCCACGTGGCACTGCTGTATTGGCGGTCATCGGATCATGTGATCGTACAACGGCCCATGAACCCGCGAGAAAAACCGGCGAGCGCGCCAGCGGCAGGTCCGGATGCGGGTGCAAGCCCGACAAGACTGGTCCCGCCCCCGACGGACCGACACGTGTCCACTTCCTGAGACGCCCGACATTTGCTTCGAAGAGCGAGTCAGAGAATGAAGCCCCTGATGAGAATCCCCCAGCCGACACGTGTCCATTCCCGCGTGACCCGGACAGGCCACGGCAGCCCCACAGGAAAGCCACCAACGACACCCAACCGAAGACGAAGATTCGGACAACAAAATCGCAAGAAATATGATATCGCCGAAGTTCACTGAGCCCCATCCCTCCCCGCCCCGCCCCTCCCCTCCCCTCCCCCTCAACCCAGTCTGTAAAATTTCGTAGTCGCAGTCCTCACTCAACTCTGTAAATCCCAACTAATGACTTCAAGATGCTAACATACCACTCTCTCTCTCTCTCTCTCTCTCTCTCTCTCTCTCTCTCTCTCTCTCTCTCTCTCTCTCTCTCTCTCTCTCTCTGTGTATATATATATATACCTCTTTCTCTCTCTCGCTCGCGGATTCGCGCGTGGACGGCGGACGAGTGCGTGTAAGTGTCTGTCTGGTTGCCTCTTGCGCGACTATGTTCTCATCTTGTAATTACTACCATATTCGTTGTGCTTTGTGCTCGGGGCGGCACGGCTCGGATGCATGCACCTCCTTCGCAGTGAGCTACGTGTGCATAATTTCCCGTAGCTGAGCTTATCATCCGTGTTCCACAATAGTTCAAAAAGGCCTGAAAGGATGTGGCGGCAGGTGGGTGCAGCTCCCGCATGTTCCCTCGTTGGAGGCTTGAGCACGGATGTGTCTGCTACGGGGTTCCCCGTAATACTATATTGAGAATTAGAAAGGGCCTGAAAGGCCGACTTGTCCAGATTCGACAGGTCAAGTTATGAATTTGTTTTGAAAAGAAAAAAAAACGGCACAAACGCAGACTGTGCATGAGAATAGGGTTTCTCTCTACGGCACGAACTCAGGGCATACTCACACTAGGACTTTTTCTAATGAGCTCTGGACGTCCTTGCCGTCATTGTGGTCAGATGCGTCGGGCTCCTGCCGTAATTGCAGTCAGATACAAACTAATCTAATAAGTCCTACTGTGAGTGTGCCCTCAGACTATGCATGAGAACAGAGCTTCCAAGCATAAACACAGACGGCGGATGAGAACAGAGGTTCAAGATTTAAACTACTCTGATAAGCATGCCTACTTTTTTTTTTTCTTTTCTTTTCTTTTTTAATTTGGACCATTTCTCGATTTTTCATCCTTGCGCAGGGGCCATGCTAATCTTCTCTGTATCGTTCCAATTTTTATTTAAAAAAAAAAAAAAAAGGGCGACGGCCGTGAGATACTATCATTGAGCTGACCGGCCCCAAGCAATTCATTAGTAGTCGGTTTTACTTGTCAAGTTTCATCATCTGGATTCGAACACAGGTCTGTATTTCAACATTTCATGGGTGTACCCACTGAGATAGGCTCTGGGGTTATCGTTCCAATTTTAACGGATGCCCCCAAGGACTTTTTCACTTGCTCGAAGGCCTGGACATTCATATTCCAAAGATAGGAGTTTGAGGCCGGGGACCTCACAATTCAACCCGGAGTTATCCCGGCAGCATCAGCCGGTTTAGGTTTGGTAAGTTCCACTCCGTCCCAATCCCATAACAGTGGCCAACCACTCACGCAGGTTTCTATCTTCTCCCTGTAGAGGAGCCATTCTACCTTCCCTAATTAATACAACACTTCCCTACCCTTGCCTAACTTGATCTATACAAAGACCTACTGCGGTCTGGTGCCCGGCCCCAAACGGCCGAGAAAAGCATTGTTCCTTCTAAGAGACCTGACACTCTCCCTTCCATTTACTCACGCAGCCTACTGTGACTGCCGACTGGAACAGAGTGCACCTGGTTCATACCACTATTCTACTTATCCAACCTAGCCAAGTAACCCAACCTATCCCGCCGATCTAGAGCACCTCTTTCTCACCTCCGCTCGAATTGCTTTCCAACCATCCCTTCCTCCTAGCTATGTAACCAAGGAGACAGGACCAGTTAACCTTCCAGTGTAACTGCTGCCAATTGGTTTGCCCTGGCCCACGTGGAGAGGAACCACCAAGGAGACAGGACCAGTTAACCTTCCAGTGTAACTGCTGCCAATTGGTTTGCCCTGGCCCACGTGGAGAGGAACCACCCTTTACCCCTTTCCAACTTACCCATGTCCGCCTTCCGACCCCAATCTGCTATGATCATTGTCCGGATCAGGGCTTTCACTTTCTTTTTAATGGCCGCATCGGCAGACCATTCCCCCCGAAAGCATATGTTATTCTGGTCCTCCCAAATAATCCACATCAATGCAGATCGGATTGCCTGTGCCATGTATCCCCGCCCGCTTCGATTGTAAAAGAGAGGAGGCAGCTTACCCGTCAAAACTCATTCTTGATCCCAGCTCAACAACGGTCCCATCTTGTGCCAGTGTTCTGCCCACCAGTGCCAGATCCGTTTGGATGCGGGGCAATCCCATATGAGATGGAATGTCGACTCCTCAGAACGACTACCGCATCTGGTACAGTTTCTCAGACCGTCCATGCCCCTCTCTGCCAGCCAACTGGCCGATGGAATTGCTGAGTGGGAGATTAACCACAACAAGCTAGCGGACTTTAGGCTGGGGACACCTGGCAATGCCGTCCATAGACTACATAGCGACATTACTGATGGAGCCTCTGGCAGGTTTAGCGTTCTAGCAGCTCAATCTCCGATTTCTTCCATTCTGCTTTCTGGTGGCTTCAGTAGTCTTCTCCCCAGCTTGGTATCATAGCTTAGCAGGGACCTCTTGTCCTGTTGCCCTTGTACTTCTTGTTGCCAGAAATAAACCATGGGATCTATTCTCAATTCTGTGATAGCGACGCCCCCCTGGATCAGGACATATTCCCGCCCACGACTGGACTGTGGTTTCCTACAGACTCTAACTGCCGTCAGGGGCTGGTGTAGATCAACCTCTGCTATGTCTGCTGTTTCTGATTGCCGTAGTTTACAATCCGCGGAGTCTGACTTCTCCACCTCCCGCTTAGTTACCATCCACACTCCCTGATCCGACCTTTCCTCCAGTCTGAGGTATTCTGTATTTGTCTCCCCATCCTGCTCCTCTTTATACCACGCTCCTTTCGTTTTCGGATAATCCTCTTTCAGCAGATCCCTCCATTCCATCGGTATTCCCTCCTTGATTGCATCCAGGCCACCTCCCACATTTTGCAACCTCCCTAGTATTTGATGGAATTCCCTTTCTAATCTCCAACCTTTTCTTTGTTCGTCCCAGATATCTTGTACCCGGGAGACCCCTCTCTCAATCCACTTACGGCCAAAGGCTTCGGGTGATCCCGATACCTCGAACTCTCTCCCTCCTGTGTCTATGATTAAGGAGTTCTCGAATATCGGTTGCCTCAGAATCTCTTCCTTTGTCTTTGGGATGGCTGGGAGCTGAGGTCTCAGTTTCTTCCAGGTTGTACTCCAAGCATTACCTATCGCCGAGTTAAGACGGCGCCTCAGGAAGGCGGACATTTGCAGGCAAAGGCAGACATCTTCCTTGCGAGTCAGGTGGAACTCCTACTGCAAGGTATATTGCATGATCAGAAGCCAGTTCCTCAATTGTGTCTGTGAACTGATCTTCAGGAACCATTTATTTATCAAAGCCAGATTTTGTATCTCGGGGTCGATGATGCCCAACCCTCCATCACTTTTGGACTGTGTCACTTTGTCCCAAACAACCTTGCAGATGAAACCTTCGTCATTCCTTTCTTCCGGCCTCCATAAGTACTTGGTGGCTGACGATCTCAGTTTCTGTAGCATAGTTCTGGAAATTAAGATGACGGCTGCTATGTGCCAAATTAAGGCAAAGATTGATGTCGTAATAACATTGTCTCTACCCATCTGCGTAGCATGGCGAAAGTGTTCGCGGTGCTCCCCATCTGCGCGAACACGTTCGCACGTTCGCGCGAACGGGTCGCGAACACAACGTCATCTGCGAGAACGCGTTTTCGGAGGCCGTGAACGTTGTTCGTGGGGGCCGGTCCCGGTCGCCGGCGGTGGTCCTGGCGGGGGGTTTGGGGCCTTGGGGAGGCCAGGGGTGGTCTGGCAGGTCAAGGCGGGGGGCAGGAGGGCTTAGGGGAGTCGTTTTCCAATTCGAAATCGAACTCCAACGAGCGTTCCCCCCAGCTGGAGCAGCAGCGCACAGAGGAGGTG